ACGAGGCGCAAAGAGCTTGTCCGACCCCAACGCACACCTTCGTCTTCAAGCCCCACCCTTCGCTGTCGGTTGCCATGTGGCGCTGCTTGAATAGCGCGGGCGCATTTGAGGCAGCGGTCCCATCGCGATCCAACGTAATTGGCACTGATGCGTCGCAGTGTATGTCGTCTAATCTCCTAATCTCCCATATCGCGAAGCATAAACGTGGCTTAACTACGTTGCTTCAGGACTGTCCTGTTCCACCCTAGGTTAGTATTAGTTCTTATACTCTCGAAGCAATCAAATTCCGAAGCCAGTACTAATGAAGCACTGTTTGGGTTACAGGCGACAGCAGAAATGAAGTGGAGCGCATGTGCAGGCAAAGTGAACCCTTTCAACCATCTGTCGCCTTATGGGCATGATTTTACCACAGTCCAATCCTTGTTGAGATTCGTACATCTCCATACATCGCAAGTGCTCTCTTTTGAACACTTATGAAAACACTGACATGCGAACAAGTAGAATCAGAAAACAGTTTATTCAACAATCCCATCAGCAGAAATGGCTGGCGGGCGGGGAGGGGGGCGAATTGGAGAGCACTCGCTCAGTATTGATCGGGCACTTGTGTTGTTTCTGTCCTGATGGTCGCGCGCGGAGTCGCGCAGAATCGCGCGGACCGCGATGGGTGCTGCGGACTCTGGTACACCAAGCCTCAGGATATTACGTGGCGGACCACCGCGACTTGAAAAGATATGCTATGGACCAACATGGTTTTGCTTCAATCAAGCAAACAGCAGCTTAGACGCGCAATTTCTATCGGTTCGCCACGTCATTTCCGGTGGCAGCCTCGTCAGACTTCGAGATATGGACTGTTTTTGTGTGGTTTTAAAAGCACGCAATTTCTATTTCATCGTCTCATTATTTGCGAACTCCCTGTAAATACAGGTCGTGTCAAGCGATTTCATGTCGAAATGATGTGCATAAGTATGGTGGACTAATGCCAGTTCTTAAATGCATATGCGTCGTTTGATCTTGTCTCGCCGTTTAGACTCTGTGTAGTGGATGAGTTTATTTTCACGGTGAAAATATCTAATCTGTCAGGCTAAGATGCGCGGGTTGCTGTCGGCTCTCCCGTATCGTCTTGTGTCATCTCTGCAGTATGGATCATCTCCAGTCGGTGTTCGCTTGCTCAGTTCGGCACCTCAGGCACCACGAGTGCTTAGGAGAAACTTCACAGCCTGGTGGTGTTGTCCAATATCCATCGATCTCGTGCAGCAGTAGATAAAACCCTCGTTATTTCAGAAGTGGATCAGTTTTGTTAGCCAGTTGATGACACGCTGAGAAGGCAATAGAATATACACGACGCGTGTGCCAATTGATCCTCAGTGAGCGCGAATTCGAGGAAGCAGGCGTCATGCCCACAGCATGAGGTCTGTAGATTATGAATATTGATTTCAGATAAATTAACTATCACTGTCCATTACTGCTGGCTATGCACTATCGCAAGGTACGGGAGCATCCTCCGAACTAAGCCTAGCTTAGGGCAGAACTTCGGGGAAAACGATAATTGCTCAGTCCCGTTTTGATGAAAAGGAAATTTTATGCTGTCTGAAATACATTGCCACCATAATTCACCGTACCTGGCGATAGCGCTGAGCTGTTCACAAAGAGAAGAGCGTAGAACGTAAAATAAGCAAAGCGATCTAAGAGTAGGCTTCCAGTTATCGTAACAAAATCGATTTGATTGGTAGACGCACACCAAATCGGCAGAACTCTGGATTGATTTTCAAAATTTCGCAACGAATTTGTAGTGGGTCAACTTATTTAAACGCCCTATCAGAAAGATGTAATCGAATCAAGGAAGTTCAGACAGGATCAAGCCGTTCGTTCGCACTATTCGAACGAGGGGTCGCATTTTGGTCATGGGCCGAGGGAGGGGTCGCAATTTCAAGGACCCGCAACCGAAATCGCGACGGTAGTTGATCGGTGGATGAAGGACTGGGGAGGAACGCTCACAAAGAACATGAAGTTGTCATAAACTCAAAATAATTATTCTTTCCAGGCTCGCCCGTTTCGTCCTGAAGTGTTTCTCCGCGTGAATTACTATACATCGTAAAAAAATCTTTCTGTCTTCAGCAAAGCTTTTAGGGAGAGCTCGCTTCGTCGCATCAGAGCGTGGTAGCAGTGCCAAAAACTGAGCAAGTTCGGGTCATAGCAAGATGAAATAGACTTCCAAATGCCAGCCACAGGCGCGTGCGTGGCGTATCCGAGGGCAAGACTTGCTTGTGCAGACCGCATTAGATTCGATTATTATGCACAGAGAGACAGTTTTAGGCAAATTACGGTGTTTTCCGGAATAAAGAACAGTTGAATGCATCCCTATGAAAGGTTTGACTTCTCGGGGCTGAAATTAAAGTTCTTCGGGACCTAATTTTCTGAGGACGATTCTTCCAGACAACGTAAAACACATAAGAAAGCAGAAATCTCGTAGTCTTCAAAAATGTCTTCGCCCCTCCCCAACAAGCTCTTTGAAGGAAGTTATTATTGCTGAAAGCTCAAAAACTCGCATGTGCTGCTCAAAAACCTATGGGACAAAATGTTCGAACGTGTGATTTTCTCGAAAAATGAACTTTGAAAAACGGTTTGGTGCTTGTTAGAAAGAGCAAATCCTGTACTTTCACCCCATGAAAAAAGTGATCACAGAAATGAAAATGAAGTGAGTTATGGTCGCTGAAAGCCCAAAAACTCGCTTTTGCACGAAAAATGTTCGAACGGGACAATTTTTTGAAAAAGGGGACAATCACTAAACTTTTTATACTGTTTTGTTAGAGAAATATTTGAAGTTTCTGAAACTTTTTACAGCTTTCCAAAATGTCGCATACGAAAGATTATTATGGGCCTTCAAAGTTGAAGGTGCGCCTTCTTAGAATTTTGGGTTTTCCACTTCTAACAGAAGTACTTTCCGGAGAGTTAGGCAATCCTTGTAGTTTTCTGAAAGCGCACCTCAGGCACAGTCAAAATCTACCTCAACAAGTCAAAAAAGTACGTCCCAAGAAAGTTATTCCCCTCTAAAGTTTTTTCTCCGCGTCCCGTTCTTCTCACCGTCTGGGTGATACCTGCCGCGCTCCAAGGCTAACGCCGCACGCGCTGGGCTCCCTCCCGAGGAGGAGGGGTCGCAAAAATTTTGAAAAAGTGCGAACGTGACGGTTGACCCTGGGTCCAGATTTCCAATCATACTCTGCCTTCGAAAACCAGACGCGCGTCGAGTACAGACCAGCAAAAGCGAGGAAGCCCTTCGAGAAATCTGGTCACTTTCGGTTAATATGTGTCTTCTGGAGCTGTTTGAAAGCAGTCTCCGGCGCAATGCACGGAAGCTTTTCAAAAGTTATCAGAATACAATTGCAATTCCTCAATATCTTTTAAAAAAAGAGAAATTATGACGATGGGAGGTTTTGCGCTAGGGGGGACAACCGCCGTTACAAGCCTTCAGATTTTGCATAATATTTTGATCTACCTGTTGCATTGAATGACGTGCGTCTCCTGTTTAACCCGGCTGCTTTATTGGTGGTAACCCTACCCTCCACTCCCGGTCAACAAGGAAGACGTGACGTATATCATCATGGCAGTGAGTAGGTCGCCGCCGACCAGGCGCCGGGCAGCCCGCAGCAGGCGATCAGTCCGTCGCCGTAGCCGATTCATGTTTTAGCATGGGGGAATGTACGACTAGATGAAATTCCAGTCGTGAAACACAGTATATGGTCGCCTGCCCCCTTAAAGCGCGGGTTCCTTTGTCCCTAGTCATTATTTACAAACTTATTCTGTCCTACTGATGTTAGTGCCCTCCTCACGGTTCCATTGCGTTTTGAAGCATAATACTCTCTCGAATGAGCCAGCTTATCGCTCTTTGATGAATAGTAGGCCAGCTTGATCATAAAGGAGTTCAAATTTACCTGTTCGGAGAACACCCTTTACATGCGCACAAGCTCTGTTCAGTGGGGCTTAAATAACTGCGGAGATCTTGGGAGGACGCTTGTTGACTCACTGATGTCTGGAACTGATCTTGTCAGTTCTCTAACCCGCACCAGCTACTTCATGGACAAGAACCGTTGAGTCAAATCCCACACCAAAAAATCGCCGTACCAGAAGCTGCCGCGCGCGACGCTTGCCCGCCTCGTGAGCGGCGTGACCTCATTAGCCGACGATTGAATTGACCGTCTCCCGGTAACAAGAGAAAGGTCCCTCACTTAAACCACACCCGGAAGCGCCAGTGACCCGCCCAAGGATTCCAGCGCCGGCATCGATTTGTTTCACTGACAGCTCCTACCAACAAACTGCCACTGTTCATGTTGAACGAGTAATATGGCCAAATGGGATGGGTTTTGCCGCGATGAGCCTGGAAAACCATTGCAAGTTTGACCTTTATCAAGGCAACAACGCGCGCGCAAACGACTTTCAAAGAAGGTTCACAAAAGGCTCCAAGCCTTTCGGGCAGGGTCAACCGCCTGTTGCGCAAGTAACAACGAGGGGGCCATATTTGGCCAGTGGAATTAGGGGAGGTCGTAACCCCAGTACCATTCATAAAATTAGAAGCTGCAGAGGCGTAGCTAAGTGGCAAAGGCGTACAGAATATACCTGCGCTCAGTACGGTTGTCTTGTACATCTGCATATCCTAAACTTTTCTCGATCTCCTCCAGCAGGTGCTCTTGCAGTAGTACTGCTTTACGTAACAGAAAGACAGGCAGATGAAGCTGTTCACAGTGAATAGAATAGGATATTGCTACTTGGATTTCGATTGCTCATTGAGTATCGAGAATGTGTCTAGATGCAGGAATCCCTGGTCAAAAGTAACTTTACAGAAGTTTGGCAGTTGTTTTATTTGTAGGCTCTCAATACCACTTTAATTTGTTTCTTTTTGTCTTTGAGAGAGCATTTTTTCTGAAAAATATTATAATTTAGGTTTTGTGAAAAATATAATATTTTAAGGTGAAATTGCCTGTCGAGTTATCAAAACCGCTCGCGCAATGGGCATCAGAACTGTGGCTGTGCATTCTGACGTTGACTCAGGATCCCTCCACGTGAAACTAGCAGACGAGGCTGTTTGTGTAGGTCCGGCTCCCACAAGTGAATCGTATCTCCGTGCAGATAAGATTCTGGAAGCTGTGAAACAAACTGGCGCTCAAGCTGTAGGTTGTTGAACACCTCTTGGAGGAGATTCTCGTAACCTCGACCACGACTCAATTCTCAGTACAGGTTCATCCTGGATATGGCTTTCTTTCTGAGAATACGAAATTTGCTGCTGAACTAGAAAAGAGTGGTGCGGTGTTCATCGGTCCCAACTCAAAGGCTATCCTTGACATGGGAGACAAAATCCACTCCAAGAAGATCGCTACAGCCGCTAAGGTGTGTCTTTTACATGATCAGTTGTGTAATGTTTTGTAAACATTCCCAATGTTTGGTGTTGCTTGTAATGCACAGCCGATGGTGCATATGTGAGCGCCTTCACATGATGAACGTTTTAGGTTAACATGATCCCTGGATTTGATGGCGAAATAAATGACGAGGATATGTGCATTAAGGTGAGATTTTTTCGTTTGTGTTTGTTAATCAAGCTTTGCTCTCGGCTGTTTGATACGGTGACGTTGAGTGAAGGGTCACACTCACCAGCCAGCTTCTGTTGCAATATCTTTCCCTCTAGTAATTGCAAACTCGTTAAAAGTGTATGATGGTTCCAGATGAGAGGTTGTAGTAGGATACACAGCAGAGATAAACACTTGTGCAAACACAGCCAAAAAGAGAGGGCTTAGGCATTCAGCCACGCGCTTACATTTGGGTTCACTTCCCTGTTCACAGAAAAGGCTTTTCCACTCAGCCCTTGGTACTGTCCCTCTATTACTGGCCAAAAAATCTCAATTTTATTTTTCGTCCCAACTTTGCACGAAATTCGGTGTACCTGTTCTAGGTTACTTAGTGTCCTAATTACGAATATAAAATTCATTTTTGACGCTGGCTTCGCAGAAAATATGCGTTAGACACCGCTTATGCAAAGAATTGATATCACATTCATAGTCGGGACCTAGAACTCCTACATGTAGGTTTTCACTGAATTCGGTGAAAACAGCTGTCGTGCCAAATGGCGCCACCGTCAAAAATGAATGTCATATTCGTAATCAGGGCATCGAATTACCCCTAGGCAAAGTTTCGACGAAAAACAAAATTTTGAGATTTTGGGGCAGTAACAGTGGAGTCGTGCTCAGACACTTCGTGCAATTTGCGTTCAAGGAATTGCAACAAAGTTGAATGAGTGGAACGAGCAAATCTATCCCATCGTACGTGATTGTTATTAAGATGTTGGCATGACAGTGCAGACCCTATATAAATGTGTCGTGCTTTGCAGGCGGGACATCTGTCTCACCATATTGTCCTTTTCTTGCTCATTCGTGATTCCCAGGTTTTTTGTATTTGTTTATTCCATATGGCACACATTGAAAAGTGACAAACGTTGTGGTCCACAGAACGGGCATTATTCATATGCAACAATTTAGCAGATGTTTTTTGTGCTTTGCGAGCTTTTTAGTTCAGATAGTTTTTTTGGTTTTCATGAGCATTCAAAAAAAAGTAGTGAAGTAGAGTACACAAATACAGGGCTGACAGAAATATTTGTTCTGATTGCAACAAGTCAAAGGCGAGATTGCTTTTGACGCTCACTCCAACGAGTACTTATAAATTTTTCGTTGGTGGTGCACTTCTTTTGGTGGAAAGTCCTTTACTCTTAGATAAATTTTATGCATCGAACATTGCAACAAGAATTTGCGTCCTCTGTGTTTCATGATTTTACCCGTTCGCAATCAATCCGTTGATATGAATGAGGTGCCGCGCTCGCGCATTCGCGCTGTTCCCATGTGGGTGAAAACGCTAAGCGTAGGTGTAAGGCTGATGTCAGAGTCCGCGATCCGTCGCAGGTTTCGCTGATTTTCGCGATTTGCGCGATTTGCGCGAATCACGCGACGGGTCACGGAAATCACAAGTGCCCCATCAATACTGCAAGGTGTTCTCCAATCCCGCCGTCACTTCTGCTTGATGGTTATGGTTTAATGAAGACTGCTCATGATTCCACTTGTTTCATATCCAGTGTTTCAATCAGGGTGAATAACGGTCGAGGAAATCCTCGACAGGGGGTCGTATTTGCTCCGATGAGAGTTGGGAGGGGGTCGTAATCAAAAAGGTTCATCAACGGACACAACGGTGCTGCTGCCACTTATTTGCTGTCATCATTAGTTTCACAAGTGTTGTACTTAGCCTAATGCAAATAACATCTTACAAGTGGTTGTTGGTTTGGTTCGTAGTGATCAGTATGGCATAGGAGGCAACGCCTCCTGCAAAAGAATCGTAGGGAAAGGGCAGCGAGTATCTACTCTAGAATGATGCACATGCTTCGAGAACTTAGTGGAGGAACAGCATCTTGGTAGAAAGTTCAAAACAGGCAGATTCGCAGCCTTCTTGGCATCATCAGATCCTGCAACCGCAAGCTGTCATTCATCAGAACGGGTTGGAAAGGAAGCGATTTGAATAAAGGAGTGATCAGACATCACTATGACCACAAGAGTTATTCTAATTAGTTAATACTGGAAATATCTTTTGGTGTGATTAAGCAAGTCGTCACTAGGACAAAACACCTTCCCAATGACTCCGAGTGGGGTCACTGCATGGCGCATACAAGAACGGAATGGATCCGCGCCAAGTGCATCATTTTCAATTTACTCCATCGAACTGACGCGTACAGAAGTATTTTGAAGGTGTTCAAAGAAGTTCCCTACTACGGCAAGGGAGTAATAGAGTTTTCGAGTGGCTTCGAAAATTTCCTTGACATTTCCTCGACGCAGATTTCTCGCGAACTAGAAAGCGTTCGAAACAACTGGAGCACCTATCAGAAAGCGTAAATCTTCTACTTACAACGCTTTCCTCCGATTTTCAAAGCATTGCCAATGAAGACAGCTACTGCCTTCCAAAGAGTGGGAACTCGCATGTAAATTTCAATTTCCTCGACAATTTCTCGACGTCTCCCACTCTCGAGAATAGGTGTGCTTAGAAAAACGCTCAGCACAATTTAGAAACTAGAAGTCTTGTGCATTCAAAAGCTGCCTTCACTTTCTGAAATGGTTATCAATGAAGAAAGTTATAGTCCTTTGAATAGGGGGTACATTTGACGATTTTTCCAACTAGCGCGCTCTAGGCACAGCGCGCGACGCGATCGCGGGTAGTTAGCGCCGCTATACTGGAGCGCGAGACTGTTCAACTGTGTAGGGGCAGTACCTCCTTCAATGTTCTACTTTCCGGCCAATGTGGCAAAGGTTAAATGTCTTTAAAGGAAAGAAGGAGAACCTAATCTGAGCAGAATTGAATCTAGCATTTGGATCAAGCCGCATTTGCGTGGCAGCGGCGCTGCGTCCCTCTCGCACATCTGAAACTAGCATTTTTTGATATGAAACCGGATGTGCAGAGGACAAAAAGGGGTCGTATCAGAGTCCATGTTTTGGAGGGGGGTCGTAAAGAGGCGGTTATTTCCTCGACACGATTTTCACCCTGGTTTCCACATTGTTTCACAATGGGCACTTGCATTTTTGTGATTGGTTTTTTGGTTCCTGAAAATAAAAAGATACGAAGCATTTCATAAGCTACATAGACATTGACCCATTAACAAGTAGAACGCAACTTGGTATTAGTCAAGAATAGAATGTACCATTCGACAAGGAAGTCTGCTCAAGCCAAGCTGATTATATCGATAGAATGTCCACGACCCACCCCTAATAACACTTATGAAAAGAGCCCCATAGTGCCAACGTGAACTGCGCAATGGAATTGCCGACTTCTGCCTTCTAAGACTCCTTATCAGCCCCTATCAGTTGCTATCATTTTTGTCGCCCACCTACAATGTCCAGGTACCACCCCATATAACACTTGTAATTATGAACGCTCAAGTGTCAATGTCAGCTGCTCAACGGAATGGGGACTTGTGAGTTCAAGGGCCCTGACAGCCCTTATTAGTTTCTATCATCCTATTTCACCCACAGTGTCCCGGTACCACCTCACATAACACTTAAGTATGAACGCTCTAGTGTCAACGCGAACGCTTGAGTCAAATTTAATGAAAAGAAAAAATCGAGAAGGATTGGGAGAAAAATTAAAACGAAAGTAAAAGGAAACAAAGGAAAGTAACTGACGAATACACAGGCGCGGGAAGCAGTAAATGCCTAAAACCTCGCTCGAATTTGTCGCGCGGTTTCCCGCACGCGGCAAGCCGCGTGTACGACGTCGCGCGGTGACTGCCCACAGGCCTAATCCTTAGCTCTTGCTTTACAGCCAAACCCCCGAAATGAATTCGATCCTACTGAATGGTTGTTCTTATACTGGTAGGAAAGTGTTATCACAATCACGATATCTTTCGCCTCTAGTCGACCATTTTGCGGACGGACAGACAGACGTGCAAACACACACAAACAAACCGACACACCAAACTTCTGGTTTATATAATGAAATGATACTTGAAACAGGGACTTGCGGGTGAGCAAGCGACGTGTAAATTAGCGGGCCATACTTTGTAGCCACCCTGTACATTTAATATGTGTGTAGGTTAAAGTAAACATGCACCGAAAATGAAGAAACAGTATCGTTCAAGAACAAAAAAAAATTCAAAGGGGTTTCGTCCCCAACCATTCGGGGAAGCATACCTTACGGCCGCAGGAATGCGATGGCAGCTCAGCTGCACTTTAGGGCCACAGTAATCCAGCTGGCGCGCCCTTGCGAAACGACGGTAATGAGAGTTGGAAGCAGCAGTAGAAGATAGTGGTGCATGACCTAGTGCACAGTAAGGAATAGAATCGAAGGATCAAGGCTGTGATAACGAAGTCATCTTGTCCTAGGCTATAGCTTTACTTCAATTTGTTGAATCGTTGAGATCAATGAATTTTCTGTGGTAAATCACAGCACATGAATGGGTCAAAAGAATTGTGACAGTGTCTGCCACATAGAAGTATCACAAGCCATCAACTGTAACTTTTCTCTCAAATGGACATGTGACGTGTGCATGTGACGTGACGACGACATGTGCAATAACCGATAGTACACTTATGAGTGGGCGGAAGTGGTGTAGTGGACAAGTGGCACGCTTACCACGCGAGCGGTCCGGGGATCAAATCCTGGGTCGTGAGTCGCCCGGGCCAACCAAGCCTTCCATCCCTCCGGGGTCGGTTAATTGGTACCAGACTTGTCTGGGAGGATAAAAACACTGACTTGTACATCGGCTGGCCCCGCAAGTCATTGTATAGGCCACATCGCATTCAAACGCCACTACGAATGTACAAATGGAAGTAGAATGCGTGCCGCATCCCAAAAGGGATTGATCAACGGCAAATGCTTTATCCTTTTTTTTTACCCCTATGAGC